ATATGTACAGTCATGGCCAAAAGTTTTGGCAGTGACATAAATTTTGTGTTTTGCAAAGTTTGCTGCTTCAGTATTTGTAAATTATTTTTCCACATGTTTCTATGGTATACTGAAAAACAATTATAAGCATATATCAAACGTTTTAAAGGCTTGAGATCCGGGGAGTTGCCTGGCCACAGATTCAAAATTTCAATGTAATGATCTTCGAGCCACTTCTTTATCACTCTTGCTTTGTGACATGGTGCTCCATCATGCTGGAAAATGCACGGATCATCACCAAATTGCTCATGGATCATTGGAAAAAGTCGTTCTTGCAGGACGTTTTGATACCATTCTTTATTCATGGCAGTGTTTTTGGGCAGAATTATGAGAGAGCCCACTCCCTTGGTTGAAAAGCAACCCCACACATGGATGGTCTCAGGATGTTTCACTGTTGGCACAACACAGGACTCATGGTAGCGTTCACCTTTTTCTCCAAAGAATCGATTTTCCAGATGTCCCAAACAGTCGGAAGGGAGCTTCATCAGAGAAAATAACTTTTCACCAGTCCTCTGCTGTCCAATCCTTGTACTTCCTGCAGAATTTCAGTCTGTCCTTGACATTTTTCTTGGAGAGAAGTGGCTTCTTTGCTGCCCTTCTTGACACCAGGCTGTTGTCCAAAAGTCTTGGTCTCACTGTGCGTGCAGATACTCTCACACCAACCTGCTGCCATTCCTGGGCAAGCTCTGCACTGCTGGTGACACGATATCTAGCTGACTCCTCAGAAGGAGACGGTCCTGGCGCTTGCTGGACAATCTGGGACGTCCTGAAGACTTTGATGATCCGGTAAATAGTTCTTTCAGGTACAATATTCTTTGTGGCAATTTCCTTGCATGTGAGGCCATTTTGATGCAAAGCGATGATGGCTGCACGTGTTTCTTTGGAGGTAACCATTGCTAACAAGAACACAGTGATTGGAAGCACTTCTTCCCTCCTCGAGATCAGTCTACTCTTACAATCCATTTAGTATGATAGTGATTTCACCTGATTAGTACTCATTCACACTTTCACATGTGCTGCTGATATGATTAGTCAATTAATGTTAGCTGGTCATTTTGTGTCAGGATCAAAAAACAGTGAATTTTTTTATTTATTTTACATTTTTGGTGAAAAGTTCATTTTTTGGGCCAATGAAGCTTTTAGCAATTATTTAAAATACACCTGATCACTCTACACAATAATCTAGAAACAATGTGAATGAACACCACAACAGCTTAAGCAGAAAACTTTGCAAAACACAAAATTTATGTCACTGCCAAAACTTTTGGCCATGACTGTATGTGGAAATTATATTGCAGGCAAACCATGAAAATAAAAAGCATATGCATTTATTTAAAAGCTTTTTGTACAAAAAAGGAAAGATAAACAATACAATCAAATAAAACAATACAGTACAAATAATAATGACATTTAAATAGCCTGTTCATTTGCTACACATTTCCAGTCTCAGTCTGTACACTGGGGGACTAATTTGACACATACAGTTTTTCAAGCTTTTTTTTTTTGTCCAGAAGGGGATGTTCTCCCCCTTGTTCCCCTGAGGTTCTAATTAGTAGCACACAGCTGCCAAGAGAAGAAAGCAGGACGAAAGCTCCTAATAACTTTTTTTGAAAACATAAATGAGTAAAAATTACAAAAATATATCTAAAAAATCAGAGTAGGCAGTTTATTTTACCACATGGAAATTGTGCAAGACAATGATAAGTCACAAGTGTAAGGCATCACTAATTGAAAAATGTTTAAATGTGTTTTTTCTTAGTAAGATTTCTTAGTAAGAAATGTATACTCAAAAATTCTAAAATCTGTCCATTAATCCATGTCTCATCTCCTGCATTCACAAGTGTCTGCTTGATGCAGCAAAGCTCATCCAAGGTCTTGGTTGGTGTTTAAAAGGTCACATCGACTCTGTGGTTGTCTCTAGTGGTTCAGGAGCTTGTCCTGAATTGAAGAAGACAGAAAGGAAGAAAATTATTCAAATATATGTACTGCTATGGAGTAACACCCAAAACCAGCTCGAAGATTGCATTCTTGACAGCCTTTCACATTTCAAAACGGGTACTTTGGACTGTAATATTATTAGATTTCGGCCCTCAATAAATCAGAAATTTTGAAAAGTACAGAAAGAGCTGCAGTAAACAGTATCTTCTGTTCTATCTAATTTCTAAACAAAGAACCAGCAAATATGAACACAGAGGAAGCCACTGGTGTTTAACAAATATCTGGCTAATCTCACTTATACAAGTTTACAGCTACTCTTCATAGATATTTGAAATATTTATAAATATATTTTATTGATTTTTAAGATATTTTTAAAAGATGTCTCTTACGCTTACCAAAGCTGCATTTATTTGATCAATATACAGTAAAAACAGCAATATAAATATGACAATTTTTCAAGTTTTCTATTGTAATGTATTTTAAAATGTGATTTATTCATGTGATGTCAAAGCTGAATTTTTATGCGGGATTAATAAAAGTAATTTCTCAATTAATTTCTTAAAAAGTATTCATTTCTAGTTTAATTTCTTAAATAAATAAAAAATGCACACAAATTTATATTATATTTTTATTTCATATGCACACATTTCTGTCATAAACATCAACTTTGAGCTTTGTGTAAAAATCCCATCATATGTTGCGCCACAGATTTGGTCACAGTGTAATCTTTTATACTATGTAATTAGCTAGCAGACGATATTATCTGTGCCAATGTGTAAGCTAATAGATGTCATAAGGTGTGTTTAGAATAAACATACAATGGCAACAGCAAAGCTTGCAAACTTACTTAAAATTTCACATTTAAATCAACGTTTTACTGATTTAATCATTTAATAGCCTGACATACCAGCTTTTGTTGTCAACAATTAATCAGTGACTATGAATTGCTATGTTAAAGTAAATGTCCTTTATATGTAATATTGTTATTGTGTTTTTCAAATCTGCCTACTACTAGATTTGTGCTGTGCATTCATTAAATGCTTTATATTTTTTTCTTTTTTAAACTTCCATAAAATCAAACCAGTTGATTATGTCCAAGAACATACAAGTATTACCATAAGGCCCCAAGAAGTTTGGACAGACTATAATTACAATAGCATGTTATTACCTGAAGTGAGCAGTTCTGCTGCTTTCCTGTCCTCTTTGATATACAGAGAGGTCATTAAAAAAAACAGGCCTCCCAGAACCCCAATGAAGGGGCACAAAAGAATGCTATATTCCAGTCTACGGAAATCCCAGTGGGAAGATTCTGGATTGTACTTGAGCAGAGCATCTGAGATCTGAACAAAACACACAAAAAGATAACAGTCCTTTTGTCTTTTAAATTACACTGTGAAAAGAATGTAACTATGCCAAGACAGTTGCTGTTTCACAAGGTGCAATTTTGTATCCAGTAGTGTCATGTGTTCCAAAGCACTTCTGGATAGTGACAGCATAGCCTTTGACCCCACTACTATTTTATATGAAAGTACTGTGGATTAAAATATGCTTACCGCACCAATAAGGTATGGACTTCCTGCATCTCCAAGGAGATGACAGACCATAATCTGTAAGGCTTCAGCTGTCGCTCTTCTAGTAGGCACAACAACATACTAAAAAAGAACAAGATTTAAAAGATGTCTTTTATAAACAACATCTTTCAGCAGTTGTAATATAATAATCACACACTTGAAAAAGAAGAACAATTAATTAAACAGTACACCAGTGTTCTCAACGTTTCTAGAGTTCTTTAGCATACTGGCATTCGTTTTTAATTTTATACCATTAGCTTATCGCATCACTTAGCAGGTCTCCACACGCTCGCAACCGTGTGTTTCATTTCAGCACTTTTTATGTTGTATTGAGAAGCGTAAACCTCTCACCAACAGAATGTCTGCCAGAATAGCCCAGTTGAGGGACAGCAAAGTCTCTCCAATAGCAATGAATGTCTGTAATATGGCACAAAACAGAGACAAATATTTAGAGACCACATCACCCTGCTGGTCACATTGCGCTGTGACAGCAAATAATCTGTGCTATACTGTAAATATTCAATGCATGTGCCAAAGTACATTGTTTAAGTTTAGGTCAGTTAAAGGAGTATATTACTTTAAAAGAATAGTTCACCCAAAAATGTACATTCTGTCTTCATTTAATCACCTCATGACGTTCCAAACCTGTATGACTTTCCTCTTCTTCCTCTTTGTGTGTGTGTGTGTGTGTGTGTGAGAGAGAGGGAGAGAGAGAGAGAGACAGGGTCACATCACAGTGGAGTCAGCTGTCAGAGAGAGAGAGAGAGAGAGCATTCAGTTTAAGCCAGTAGGGTGCAGTGTTGTTTTAAACCCCATTGATTTTCACTGTATGGACAAAAACAGTTGAAACATTTAAATGAACGTCTTGCTTCTTGTTTTCCACAGAAGAAAGTCAGTCATACAGGTTTGAATTTTAATTTTTGGGTGAAATATTTCTTTAATATTAATGCAAATACACAAACTAATCCAGCCTGCTGCAGGAACGTGGCTGATCTTTGCTTACGTATGTGGCCGGGATGCTGGTGCCCGCCAGGATGATGGCAATAAAAAAGCAGGGAGAGGAACTGAGCATGCCTACAGCACATATGAGAGGATCTGCGTTGGGCAGTCTGACTCTCAGCTGCTTTGATATGTAGGTGCCCATAAACACTCCCACAATCCCCGTCACCACTGTGATTGCTCCAAAGATGTAACTTTCACAAGAGAAAGAAGAAACAGTGTGATGATATTCAATTTCAGTCTCAGATTCTCTGTTTTATTCCTCACAGAACCTACCAGACCAGTCTGACTAGTCAAGCTCATAAATACACTCTATAAGCAGGTCAACTCAGTTTGAAGGTAGAAATCGCTGAGAAACATAATAAACAGATATACTGACAGGATTGCAAGAGCAAAAACAGCTGCAGTAAACAGTAAGTGTGAGTATCTAACCAAGGAACAAGCTGATATGAACACTATCACTCTGCTAACCAGTCTTTGGCTAATCACATTTTCTAGTCTACCGTTAACCTTGTGGATTTCCTCTAAGATCTGTCCAATTATATAGTCAAAAGTCAAACGGCAAGAGACTTGCTGTACCTGTCTAAAGGGTTACAGGGCTCTTCTTTGCAAGGTAGTCTGAGACCCTGTGTAATCTGTGCACGAGACAGGAAGGTGGGGGTCCAGAAGGCCAGAGCCCCTGTGACAAAAGCCATAGCAGTCACACCAAGAGAAGACCAGACAAAACTCCGACTGGAAAGAAGGCACAGATCCAAAACACAATAAATAGTCATATTTGCGGAACTACCTGTACTAATACGTGAAATCCCAAAGAGCAGTTAAACTTTTTGATCCAAAGGGACCACTTTGTCCAACACAATATTATCCCCATATTGGATATTTCCTCTGGTATTTCTGCTAAAATTATGACAACACTGCTTGTTTTCTATTTTTTATATTAACAGAAACTGGGAGTATTGATATCTTGAATTAATTAAACATAATTGCATTATGTATGTTTTTCAGCAAAAAATTATATATATATATATATATATATATATACAGTGGGTACGGAAAGTATTCAGACCCCCTTAAATTTTTCACTATATATATACACACCCTGTGCCCACAAGTTGACCACTGCCCTAGAGCACTACGATCATGACAAAAGTTATGAGCACATGCCAGATTGAATGACATGTACAGTTAATGTAACTTGAATCTCTACAATGACTTACTTCTTCAGGAGGTACTTGATGTCCTCAATATAAGAGGTGCTTTCCATGGTTGCTCCTCCTTTGTTGTCGGAGGCTCCCCTAGGAGGATTAGGAATCAGAAACACCAGCAGCAGCAGACCCAGGCCTCCTAGAGCTGGACTGAACTATATCAGAACCAAACAACCACCTCAGTTTTCTTTTATAAATGTGGAAGGTAATTGTCTTGATTATATTAAATCAATATATGTTTACATTGCAAATCCATTAAAATAATCATTAATGATGTACATAATCTTGTAAATTACATTTTAATTTTACTTGAATGATTAAATGAATCATTTTAGCACCTTCAGCTTTGGTTTAAGTCAACTTAAAACTTACAATTTTGTTTAATATATTTAATTCTTTGATGTTTGAGATCCAATAATTGCTAGACCCTCTGCAATACTGCTGTGAACCCCCTGTTTAAGAGCAATGTTTTAGTGAGAACAGAGCATATAAACTGCTTTAACACTTATTTACTTTAAAGTTTTTTTTTTTAGCTTGAATGGAGTACAGTTATGCAATAGGAGTCCAAGGAAATCCAATTAGACCCTAAAATACAATGCAGTACAGAGCTTTTTTTTTATAGCGGCTACATTTAAGTTGACTGCATTATAACAAGATTAGCAGAATATTAAATCTAACACAGTAAAGATGTAACAGTACTTATATATACTTATAAAATATATATTCCCTTACCCTCAGGGCCCAACGCCAGTCCCCTGTTGCATTAGCTATAGTTGCCCCCAATATATATCCAAGACCACTGAATGAAGATTTAAAGGAACACATCAGTCAGAAAGAGTAAAAAAAGATTTTTTAAAAAGTCTTGCCAATATGTAGAAAACGTTGTATACAATACCACACAAGCAAGAGCTGTGATTGTGGTTTTATACAACAGTTCAAGAAACAAGAGGCTAATATTAAGTAAGCTACGCTGACACAGTTTTGCCATTTAATTTGTCCATTTTTGCTATGGCAAAAATTTTTGTTCCAAACAAACCCACAGAATTATTGTTCCACATCTCAGAGCAACAGTATTTTGAACAAATCAGTTAAGTAAATGACTCAATGAAACGCTTGTTTCATTCCTAAATGAATCAGAGTTTTCGAATAAATGGTTTGAGTAAATGAGTCAATGACGCACTCATAAAGACATTCATTTGTCGATGTAACCTGCAGAAAAATTAATTGAAAAGTCCTCACCACTAAAGGACAGACTCACAGGAACACACAAACACAGATAAGCAGAGTCATACAAATAAAGTCTGTATAAGTCTGTATGTCTTTTGGCAGTAAGGTCTTCACCTTCCAACCGGTATGAAGATGTAGAAGAAGGAGATCATGAGAGTTCTCTGGGTGCCAGTGAACAAGTCACCAATGATAGTAGGTGCTATGGTTGAGTAACTGGCCTCTCCTGTCCCAACCAAGGCCCTTGTCAGGACCAGAACCCAGAAGTGCTGTGGTAAGAGTAAAGAAAAAAACTAAATTAAATTCTGCTCTTAGAATTTTAACACTGTTAAAAAAAATAATGATATTGATAAGTATAGGTACAAAAAAAAAAGACATTTACACATTATTAACATTGGGAGACTTCACAAAGATTACACTGGAATTCCAGAATTCCAGAAAGAATTCCCCAGAAAGACTTTATACTGTACCGATTTTTTGACAAAAGAGCTGCCTAGTGTTGTGACGATCCACACAATCAGCCCAGCGATCATGATAAGCTTCCTGTCATAGCGATCTCCGAGGTAACCAAAAACTGGCGCCAAGAGCATAAAGCTACAGATAAAAACTGTAAATATGTTAATACAGGGTTGATGGCAAAGATATACTACAGAGGTTTGGTGCTGTAAGATTTTTTTAAATGTTTTTGAAATAACTCTCTTTATGCTTATCAAGGTTATCAGTAATGGTTTTAAATATTATTACATTTTAAAATAACTGATTTCTGTTTGAATATATATTAACATGTAATTTATTACTGTCTTCAGTTACATGATCCTTCAGAAATCATTTATGCTGATTTGGTGCTCAAGAAACATTTTTATTATTATCAAACACTTGTGCTGCTTAATACTTTTTTTTGTGGAAACTTTGATTAATAAAAAAGTTTTAAAATGCATTTCTTTACTGTCACTTTTGTGATTAATTTAATGCATCCCTGCTGACATTTTTCTACTTATATACTTTTCTACTTATATGTCAATTAATTTTTCTACTTATATGTCATTAGATTTCACAACAATAGCTATAAAACATGACGCTGTGTAACAGTGTCATCTATGGATTATGCAAATTCATGTAACAAACTGTATTATTTTAATGACTGTCAGTAAGCAGAACAGTCAACCAACTTGCAGTTTAGAGATTAGAGCATGAAACTGCAAATGTGAAACTGCAAACCAGATCAGTGTTAGATTAGATGATTCAGACTTATTGGCTCTTTCAAGTAATGCATGCTACAAGACCGATTGCTTCATTTACACATACAAATTTTAACAAAGTGTTTTGCGTAATGCTGGGCTTGTTCCTAAAATGACAGAAAAAGACCTTTTAGTTCATCTCCAACAAGGAAGTACTCTTGTAAAATCCAGTTCTGCAATGTTCTCTTCCTTTTTACTGTATTGTCAATGCAATGTACTACAAACTCAAACTGATACCTGTCTGTAGGAGGCCAGATGTGCTGTCAGGGATTCCGAAGTAATTCTGGATGCTAAGCAGCACACCTGGAATAGAACCAGAACAACGTCTGTCTCTTTTATAGTGACTTTCTGTGAACCATCCCAATCGATTTGGCTTTGATGAGAGTGTGCTCACCTGCTATAGTATAACGGTCCATATAGTTGAGGAGATTGATATAGCAGAGCACTGCCACTGTGATATAGGAGCGTTTCTGAGAGATAGAGTTTGTTTGCATGGCGGATGCATCACTATCTGGTTGCTCAGAGCTCAAGGAGCCATAATGTACAGTTGTGTTTGAGCGGAGGCTCAAGCGGGTTCTTGGTCTTTGTTGGTTGGAGGTCATGATGCCCACTGTCTCTATGAATGCAGAATGACTTTTTTGCCTCTATACAAAGAACAATGACTTGTAAGCACTTGACAGATAGTAAAGTGCCAAAACATTGTGATTCAAGCCCTCTTGCACCGATGAATGCTTTATGAACTGTGACAATAACCTCACATGGGTTTCATGTGATTCCAGGACACTGGACAAAGTTTAAGTAACCACGGCAACGAGGAAAAACAGAGGTCTGGAGTGTAGTCACAATCACTGAACACAACTAGTGACAAATGCTTTATATGGAGATAAACACTCAACGGTATTTTATCAAATAATTTGTTTTACTGGATTGGGAAAAAGTAACTTATATGTTGTGCAAATGATTGATGTCTAGAAGATGTTTACACTTACCCAGTGATGCTAACCTATTAGCATGCTACCATTTTAAGTCCTGTTTAAAGTGATGCCATTGTGCTTATTTGTCATTACCAAGCTTGGTTTGACTAAATTTGACTGGTTTATAGGCCATTTTGTTCAGTTGTGTGCAAACTAAAACTGTGGTTAGACTTCCTGAATAAATGGGCCAGGAAACCAATCCATTATGAAAATGTGATTTAGAGTTATAATGGATAATGGTGAACAGAAGCTTTTATGTCATGATTTGACATGTAAAACCAAATACAGAGTGCATTTGACTAAACAAAAATATATTTGTCTGTATTACAGTCAGAAGAGGAGACCATTTTGTGAGAATGCAAGGTATACTGGAACTTGTTATCTCAAAGTTGGTTGTGATCTTATTAGTTGCACCCAGCAACCTTTCTTATTACTCTCTCAACCCAAATGCTAGATGCTATTTTAGAAACAGCACAAGTCCTCTTTGACATCGCTTTAACCACAGGCAGAACATCTTGTATTTTATAAATTTTTATTGGCAACATCTTTTAACCTAAATAATGTTAATGTTTTATTGTGTTATATTAAGAAGTTGTAGTGTATGAAGAAAGATGTAATAGATTAAGCTTCCTTTTAGTGGTAGTCTGAACAGACGATACTTCCAAGTTCAGGTCAGGACTGATTTCCTCAGCGGACTGCCAACAATGCCACTGTTGAAGTGATTAGCTGCATGGCCACAACAGGACAATGCCATAAGATTGTTCAGCTTTGAATCTAAAATGCAACCAGTCTTTTAGACATTGAGGTTATGCTATATTTCAGTATATAACAGTTAACATTTTTTGTGCAATCATTCAGATGGAACATTTTATAAGAAAATCATTTTACCTTGATAGTTTCAATAATTGAAGCATAAAGTTACTTACACTTTAGTCGATGTGCCCCAATGCCAAGTGACACTCTAATCCATGTTTTCTGGCTTTTTTCTTCCTTTCTATTTCTTTTTTGCAGTGTTCGTTGAGATGTCACTTGTAGAAATAGAAAGGCGTTCCTGTGTGAATACAGCACACTGTAGGGTTATCAAGTTAGAATCAAGCCCTGCCCCCGTTTCTCTGGTCACACGCAGCAGAAGAGTTCCTACTTGTGTCGCAATATAGACCACAAACCAGTAGATTTTCGATTCCATGCTCTCTTCATACTTTCTGCTTCACACCGATCTGTTACCCAGATCTGCCAGGGCTTTTGGCATTATGCTTCAGTTCACAGTAATGTTCTGAACACCAGGACAAAGGTCTGACAAACAAAGCTGCCAGAAAATTAACACCATGCAGTGAGGGAATTCTTCTAATGTAACCTAATCTTGTATTGGTTGTTTAACTGAAGTTTATGACCCTTGTTTTATACAGTAAACAGTTCATATTCTTGCATAGATAGATGAATCTAGATAAGCCATAATCATGTTTACTGGCGATATCTTGGCAGTGATTGACTCTCTTTTGGGTCAGACTCATCTAGACTCTTGATAATTTTTCATTTTGTTGTTAATCTTTTTTACAAGGTTTCGTTAGGTTTCATGCTGAATTGTGAAACTTAAGATCAGTGTTGGGGGTAACGCATTACAAGTAACGCGAGTTACGTAATCAGATTACTTTTTTCAAGTAACTAGTAAAGTAACGCATTACTTTTTGTCCTATTCTGCTGTCCAGATTATGCATAACGTTGTCCTTCTTGGGAAATAATCTGCCTAACAACTTCTCTAAAAAAAGCCACTGTATATACATTGTTCCATAAGTAACACAATACTGGCCTCCGTGTTCTCTAAGACCACTTACTGAGAGTCATCACATGTGTTTGTGTACAGTGAGCACAGTGACCTGTCACCAAATCTTTCCTGTATTGCTGATTTCAATGAAAAAAAAAAAAATATGTATGTAGGTTGTGGTGTGTATTAAATCAGCAATGCGGTTATAATAAAGCACGGTGGGTTTTGGAAAATTACATTTAGGCCAATCAGTAATTCAGCAACATCAAGTTTAAAACGAACTGAAACAAACAGTCACCATTCAAAACATCTTGTCATTTGTAGTAAATGTCACTTAGTACATCATGCCAGTAAGAAATGGTGAATCAAGACATTACAGTTTTTCACATTTGCTAAGACATTAAACCCCATTCTCTAAACCAAATTCTCAATAGCCTAAACCAAACTGTCAAATAAATCACTCTTTCTACAAAACCTTAAACAAGTTCAGGCAGTTTAGACACTGTTTGTAGATCTCATGCACTCTTTTTGCAAAACTCTAAACTCATTCTCACTCACTAAAATGCAATTTGCACCATGATAACCTTGTGATGCAAAACCGTAAACACAAGAACGCAAAAGTTAAGCACAACTGCAACACGGTTGTCATCGTTTACACACAATAATTCAAAACGGTTCACACTTGTTTCTAAATATATGAATGTACCAAATATAAGCCAGTTCAAATTGCACAGATGGCATGGGTGCATCCATCAATCTGAGAGTTATGGAAGAGTGCATATACGAGGTGGAGGAAGAGGAGGACGAGGAAGAGCAAGACCGAGAACACTCATTTCAGATGAAATCAGTGCTACTGTGATAGGCAATGTTCTAGTGCATGGAATGACCGAGGCAGGACAAAGAGTTCAACCTAAATTGAGCAGATTCTTGTGTAGAATTGCAAGACTACCCCGTTAGGGTGGAAGAACTGGCCTGTGGTGACAGAAACGTGCTGTCTTGTCAAGGCTGGATCCACCAACACCAGAGGGTTTTTATCCCCCATTGCCTGCCTGCAATGTAGATGAAGTCCTCTGATTCATATGTATGCATGCATGTGTATATACTGTATTCACCAAGCTTAGGTCTTTCTTTTGTTTGTGTGTGTTTGTTCCTTTTTGAGAATAATTTTTTTTTTTTGTATATTCTATATATATTCACCAAACTGATTTGTGTGTGTGTTTATTGCAAAATATTTACTAAATACTATAAACATTTTTTGTAACTACATGCACTGGACACTGTGTTCTCAATTTTTTGATGTTGTGTCTAATGAATGATCTGTAGTGTGTGTGTATTATTGACTAATTTGTGTATGATTTTAAAGCTTTGTTTGATTTTGAGTACAGGTGAAATGGTTTTGAAACGATTGTTTGATTTTGCCAGAAGAGTCAGTGGTTCTGTGATTTTTGTGAATTTGAAGGTTTGGATTTGTGTTTTAGGTTTTGAGAAAATGAGTGATGGTTTTACAGTTTTTTACGATTGCTTAAGCACAATTTTGAAAACAGGGCCCGGTTTGTCAAAACACTACACACAATTAACACAACCCTACACCAAATTAGCACAACACTTCAGATCATTTGCAAAACTATACACAACTTTATAAAAACAGAGGTCTTCTTCGGCCTCTGCGTACTCACCCTCACTCTTCTTCTGACTCCTTCCATTTCGGTTGAAGGCAGGTGAACCTACCTGCTGCATTTTTATAGTGCTTAAACCTGATTGGTGTGTCTACAATTTAGCAATCATGTGTTTGTGCACCTGATGGCTGTGTTTAACAGATTGGCTGTGTAGTGCTTTGGAATTGCAAGGAAGTGACATCATGATATACTTCTGTGTCTGATGTATACAAGTGTGTTTAGTGTTTTGCAAATCACTGTGTGTAATGTTTTGCAAATAGTGTGAAGCTGACAATGTGCTTACAGTTGTGCAAATCTAGCCTTGTGTTTTGCTCCTTGAGTGTAAGGTTTTGCTAATTGTTGGAAAAGTTTAATTTTAGTGTGTAAGCAATCGTAAAAAAAACTGTAAGAAATGTGTTTTAGCAATTCAGAAAAACTGTAAACTAGATTTATTACTCTTTACTGTCACCTAGTGGATGAGTAACACTGTGCTTTACATAAAATCAAAAACTTTTCACTGAAACTGGCACTTGCAAAAACTAAACAAATATTAAATGCGTAATCAACCTAATTACAGCATTGAGCTATAATGAGAAAACAAATATGCACATACTCAATAACTGAAATGTCTTTTATCATTTTCTGCGTGTATTTGTCAACAATGTTGTTGTTAATTCAACAACGACACTGAAGTGCTAACATAAAGTACAAAATTTCGCAGTCAAAGCCATTGCTGTTTGTTATAATTAATACGTGTATGTGTTTGAGACAGCGCGAATCCTCTGCTCATAAGTATCCCTGGAGCGCTCTCTCCTCGCGGCCTCACAGAAAGCAGAGCGCATGCGCAAACCGGATCAGAATGTTGAGTAAAACTGACTAGAGCAGAGACGGAAAGACGAGCAAGCAAATTCAAACATATTTTCTCCTTAGCGAAGTGAACGACCTAGAATATAACTTATAAAACATGACGGAGCCCCAGTCAGCACTGTTACTCAGAAGACAGCTAGCAGGTAATTTTTCAAAGGCTGTTGGCAAAACCAGGCTAACGAACCGGTGAACATTTTAGCCTGCCAATGCAGTCGAGACGGAGGTGTTAGCCGTTAGCCGCTAGTTTAGCTGCTAACGAGCGCTGTATTTATCTTAAAGCATTCGTTAGCGAGTTAGCAGCTAAAATACCCGGCTAAAGGCTAACTCCTGCTGTCTTTTGTTATTTTTAAATGCTATTTTGGTACAACTAACGATTGAATATGAATCCGAGAGCCGTTAAGATGCAATTAAAATAACAATAAGCATACATTCTTTTGATTTTATTCATTTTGTTGACGTACATGTATAAATGTCAGGCAGTTCCGTCCGTGTCACACCGGCGGGGCCGTTCGCAGTCGGCTAGCCCGTGTTTTGACATCTGTGTCCGGACGAATTTACACAGGCGCACCAGCAGCAGTCGGTATATCGTCTCGTTAACGCAGAGAAACTCTGTCATTGGCTCCGTTTCCGTTCACCATCTTATCGTGATACGTCAAACCAAAATTGTTATCACAAGGCTCAAAGGTGAGATTTATAAGCCGTACATTGTGTGCCATGTACCCACAGCCGGGTAATCAAATCCCTTTGTTTTTCAAGGCTGGCTAAACGGCTAAGCTAACATTGATGGCTGCTGTTTGAACACCAGCACACCGGTACAGCGAGAATTAGAGACCCCCAGTCCAACTATATTGTCGTAATACATGTACATAGGCGTTTAACACCAACCTCTCTCTCTCTTTATTTTATTTATTGCTAGTTTACGAAATATGCTGTTATTAGTTCGTTTCTCCCTTTCTTTGTCCAGTACACACTGAGCAACATGATCCGTGAGTGTCAGCTTTACTCAGCTCAAGCCAGAGGAGGATTTCTTCACTGGGCCCCATTTGCGCAGTGCAGCCAGTGAAGTGAATTTGTTGTAAAGGGGTCAAACTAAGCAGATTACGTGAGTTCTAGATTTAAACCTGACGTACATATCAGGCCATGTTTAAAAATGATTCGGTTTATGACAGCTGTCTGATTGCGCCATAGACAGCTCAAGCAACCCGATACCCCCAAATTACTCCTCTTAAACACGCATAGAGGCAACTCGCCTGTTTCTTTCCAAGGGTCGGCAGGGTGAGCGGCACCCCGAGCCTGTCATGGCATCAGGTTCTGTGGTGGTCTTGTGGCTGATTGACTGTTTCGGGGAATCAGGGCTGTTTTGATTGTCTCCTTTCTGCAAGACCAGCATGGTGAACTCATCAGCCTTGTTCTAAACTCAGTGAACCCTCTGAGGGAACAAAAGCATCACAACATCTATTATGCAGGATTGTAAAGATGCAGGCCAGGAAAATGTGGGCACAACTTGTGTGAGATTTTAACTTCACGTGTCGGAAGTTAAGGCCTGTTTATAACAAGAACCATAACTATATTAGTGTCCACAATAACGTTTTGTTTATTACAAGCGCACACTGCAGTTATGCCATCTGCTGCTTTACATGCTCAAGCTCTTTAAAGTCGGGTGGATTCTGATTGGTTGTCAATGCTTTTATCATTCATCAGCTGGAAAAAATTTTCTGAAAATGATTCCAATTATATAGTTTCTGTGTTGTTGTGGTGTGGACTTATTCTCATATAATTGCAATGTTTGTTAAAACGTTATAGTTATTTTCTTTGGTGTGAGTGGCCCATAAGAATAATTGTATGGTGTTTCTATGCAACGAAAACATGAATCAGTGCTATAACATTGAGATTAGGTTTGTTGTAAATGTGATTTAAATTGAGTC